GCCCCTCAAGGAAGGGAAGTTGGGGTTGATATATCCACCAACTATGCCACTGATCAGCCTCATGAGGTCCCATTTAATTTTCCTTTGAACTATGATCTAGAAGACTTGCCTCGAAGGTCAATTAGCGTCTTCGACAGATTAAGCTCGGGTTACCTAGAAATAGGTAGGCTTAACCTTCTTCTACACCTAGAAAAAAGCAGTAGAGACCATCCCAGTTCGAAAGGCAAAATAAAGTAGGAGACACTAATATGCCTTCGAATCCTCTGCTTAGAATTAGGCGGGAGAGAAGGAATGAAACATGCAAGAAATCGAGCAGGACCTCCTCAACCATCTCAGGAACCATAGATAAGAAATGATGAAGACTCCGATGAGCCCCAGAGGTCCTGAGACGACCTTGACGACGATGATGACAACTTGCCATTTTCATAAGGGATTAGGAACGTACTCGTCTTGAACCACTTCACGTTTCCCAAAATACCCAAATACGATGGAATAGGCGATCCTGGAAAGCACTTCAATAGCTTTAAGACCCGCATAAGTTTACGAGGAGCTACCCCATCATGAAGTGCAGAGCCTTCCATCTAGCCCTAAGTGGAATAGTTGAGGTATGGTACACTAGGCTCCTAGAGGTAAGTATCTGAAGCTAGTCAGATTTTAAGAAAGCTTTCCTTAAACTCTTCGCCATAAGCAAAGAGGGTGAAAGACCAATATAGCCTTTCTAGGATATGAGGTAGCAGCAAGGGGATTCATTAAAAAGATTTCTATCTCATTTTACTGATAAGATGGCCTACTGCATGCAAGTCATAGACATGGAGGCACTAACGGCCCTAAGGGAAGGGTTGGATATGAACTCTCTCTTTTGAAGAGATTTACAAAACTAGGACCCAACGAGTTATGATGTCTTTCTAGAAATGATAAGGCGGATATCATCAATAAAGAATTAATAGATCACAGCATAGGGTAAATCGAGGACTTCCACCTCCAAGGATACAAAGAATAAGAGTTCCCACCTCCTACTTAATGAACTATTAGGTTGGACATTTGACCTCCCTCAATCAAGGGCAAGCATTAGCTATAGCAACATTAAATGTGGTTCCTACTTTGACTTACGAGAAGGTGACCCCCAGTGCAAAAGTGTACCAAGGAAAGCCTTACCAGCAATTTCCCAAAGTAAGGAGAGGCAAGGGGTGAGGTGCTGAACCTATAATTAGGGACGAAACACCCCTCTACGGCATGTACCAAAACTCCTATAACCATAGTACTACTACCTGTAGAGATATTGCAAAGCACCCTAACAAACAAAGAAGAAACAAGTGTCCACAATAAGACGACCCTCTTAGGCAAGGTCGACAACCTAGGAGCAATGAAGCAAAGCGTCCTAATAGGGATGATGCCTCATGAAGGTAGGATAGTTATGGTAAAAGGCTCCACGGGCCAAAGATAGAGGAGGAACTCTCTAGCTAACACTAGTCGCAAGCCCATTCGATAGATCGACACCATTTTTAGAGGATCGTATGTCGGGAAAGAATCCAGAAATGCTCAAACGAGCTGTGGCAGGGAAGCCAAGGACTTCCCTATGGCTAGTTTTGTTGTTAGCAGCAACTGACCCTCTACTGCAGACACAGTACAACCCATCACTTCACTCAAGAGGATATCGTAAGAGTAGATTATCCAGACTATGATACCTTGCTGGTGAGTGCTATTGTGGCTCAGAATGGCCTCGAGAGAATGTTAGTAGACAATGGAAACTCAAGCAATGACATATTTGTAGCCATGTTTAACAAAATGGAAGTTGATCATGACTTAACTCCAATGAATTTCTCCTTGTATGGATTCGTCTGTGATAGCATCGTCCCGAGAGGAAAAATCACTTTGGCAATAAAAATGGGACAGCACCATTGGTAGCCCGTCATTTTATGGAATTCTTAGTGGTAGACAATCGCTTCGCCTATCACGGAGTATTTGGGAGACCAACCTTAAATGAGTTATAGGCTGTAACATCCACTCACCACCTGTGTATGAAGTTTTTACGAATGGCGCCAATCTTTTTACCCCATTTTTTGCAATGTTAACATCGAAAACAGATATCGGGCCACTTTTGCTTATGAGAGCAATTTTCAACATATTTCGATCGCAGGGCCTCTGATAGCAATGAACGTATTAATCTTGTGCGATTGAGCATCTCCCACATCCATTGCCGCTAGAGGCCCTTCGATTGGTTATTCCAATCGAAACATGTTGGAAATTACTCGCATAAGCATAAGTGGACCCGACATACGTTGTCCACGTTAACATTGCAAAAAAAGTGGTCAACATAAACTATTTTTATTTGTTTAATAATTTCTTGCTTTACTTCGTACGAGAGCGATTAAAAACGTTTGAATTAACCATCTTTTTGTTAAAAATTTAGTAGTGTATAAGTGGATAATACTCGTAAATCCTAAAAAAATGTTAAATTTTTTAAAAGTAAATTAAAATTTTTTTTTTCAAAAATATTTAGCCTTGTTTGGGCTTTATTTAATTTTAGTAAATTTTTGGATCTCATAAAGTGTATTTAAAAAGTAAAATTTATGCCAAGAAAATTAATCATGAGTGTCAGTTCGGGCATTTTAATGCCTAGAAAGATAGAACTTCCCATTATACTTCGGGTATTTCATAAAGGAATTATTCGGATCATTGTAATTACTAGACTTAAACCCAAATCGTCAGTTCCGATTTGGACACACACACACACACACACACACACACACACACACACACACACACACACACATATATATATATATAATGCTCTACTATTCAATAGTATTTGTGCAAGTAAGAAAATAGCTAACAAATTCAGCTACATAGCTCAAAATAGTGAAGACTAAAAACTAAGAAAAGAGGATAAAATTAAAACATTAAAAATTAAACTACAGTTTCAGAACAAATGACTTTTTCTTGATAAATCTTATTTGATCCATAACTGAAGCATGCTAGAGCCTAGGGGTGGGCATTTTTTCCTGGAACCGGTATAACCGGATCAAAACAAAATAGAATCGATTAGTTTGGTTTCGATTTCTCTACTAAATAAGTTGATTTTGGGACCATCCATCAATAAACCGATCGGTTCCGACTTGGTTCTCAGTACTGTCGTGAGAACCAACTGTGAATTTGATTCTCCCGAATTTCTCTTTTTACTTGTACAAAGATGCACTAAATCTTTAAATACTAGATCCCAAAAATATTAAAATTTAATTTTTCATACACTTTTTCTTGCCTTTAATGTGTAAACGAAATTCAAGTTAAAATAATTTTATAAGTATTTTACAAATTCATAGTTTTAATGCATCACAATAGGAAAAATATATTTTTATTTTTATTTTGAAAGTGGCCGCTCATCAAGAATCACAATCATTAAGAATTACTAAAAATAACTGGCTATTGTTATATGAATGTTCTTAAAAATTAATTTTCAATCGGAATTTTATCATTTGCACTTTGTTTAATAAGTTATTATTTTATTGCTTTTATAAGTTGATATTGAGTTTTGAAATTAATTTTTATTTATTGCCTTGTTTAATAGTTTTTTGCATTGTTGGATTACAAGAATGACAAGTAATTTCTTAATTTATTTTTATAATTTTTTTTCAACATAAAGAACCGGTTGGACTGAATCGAAAATGCTTGGTTTATTCTGGTTTATTTCTATAATTGGATATGAAAACCAAGAGTTCCATTTCTAAAATTCTCATTGGTACTCGGTTCAATTCAACTTGAAATAACAAAAAAGGTACCACCAGAGCTCAACTATGAATAAATAAAGTTCAATTTTCCTGCTTGATAAAAAAATAAAATATAACTTAAATTTATAAAAAATAAAAAGACTAAATTGCAGAAGAATAAAGTTTTGATCCGTCAACTTACAACACAACCCTGACTTAAACTTTTGATTCATAGAAAGATCAAATTGCAAAGATTAACATATAAATCTGATGTAAGGCGGGAGGAAAAAAAGATAGATGGTTTTGATTTCTTAAGTTTAAACTCTAGAATTTTATGCAAATTACTACAAAAATAATAGTTTTTAGATTTTGCACCTTTTTTACCTAGCCTTTATATTGTAAAAAATAAAAAATTATATAAAAAATCGATTTCATTCAGATAACCATGATTTTTGTTCAAGAACCAAGAATTGATCAGAACCCAATCAATATTCAATTCTTGATTTCAGTTCCTAATTTATTTATTTTTTTGTTGAAACTAATGAAAAGCCAAGGCCAAATGGAAAATGAAACCTAAATAAAGAGTTAGCCTTCGAGCTCTATTTTTTTCGATACTCAATTTTCTAAAACTTATTTTCATTCATACATTCTTTCATAAAATAATTTTACATGTAAAATCCAAAACATTTTTTATTTCTTACTTCACAATTCTCTAAAAAATAACTATTCTAGGAGACATTTTCACCCAAAAATGGGGCTCAATCAGAGAGTTAGAATTGAAATAATATATTATTATACATCTTTTTCACATTTAAAAAATGTAATAAAAAATAATGCTTATAAATAGATAAAATGAACAGTAATAAATGAATAATACTTATGAATTTGTCAAAATATATAGTTAAAAATGAAATTTTACTATTTATAAAAAATTTTAAAGCAAAGTATGGAAGAAATGATGTGCCAACGGGGCAGAGGTTCTCTCTTCTGCTCCTCCATCTATAATTTTTTGTATAAAAAAAAAATGTTAGTTATACAATCAGGATTGATAATTTCGATTGACAATATGTGATTAGAATTTTTTTTATTTATGGTGGACCCTATCATGCGTATGACAATTCAGATTGACAACTGCAATTGTATGCGTAGCGGGGTCCAAAAAAATAAATAAATAAATAAAGGGTCAAATTTCCGAAACAGTCGCTCCTCCGACTCTCTCTCTTCTCTTTTTTATTTTTTTATTTTTTTTATTTATTTTTATTTTTTTTCCCCTTTGTGAATAACAAAAACAAATTAACAGGAAGAGAAGCCAGATTGACGGAGGAAATTTGTGTTGGTTTTCCTTTACTTTCTCTCTCCTCCGTTCAATTTTCTCTCTCTACATCGGAATATTTCATGGACATCCGTCGAAGACCCCCCGAACCCTCTATTCCTCATCACCACCATCAAATGCCTCCGCTGCTGCCGACACCTTCGCCCGCCGCCGCGAAGGCTTCTGATGCACTCCCTCTCCCTCTCCCTCTGAACATTACCAATTGTTTCTTCTTCACGCTTTTCTTCTCCGTGGCATACTACCTACTCAACAGGTGGCGCGACAAGATCCGGACCTCCACCCCTCTTCACGTACTCACTTTCTATGAGCTCGCTGCCATTTCGTCCTTCATCGCCTCTTTTATTTATCTATTGGGATTCTTTGGTATTGATTTTGTTCAGTCTTTCACTTCTCGCTCCTCCAACGACGCTTGGGAACTCGAAAACGATGACGAACAGATCTTCTTTCGTGACGAGGATCGTAAGATCCATTGCCCTGTTCCCTCATTAATTACGAACAAACCCGAATCAATGGATATTTCAGTTACGCCCTTACCTTTGAAAGATGATGAAGAGCTTGTAAAATCTGTGGTCTCGGGCGGAATCCCTTCATATTCATTGGAATATAAACTCGGGGATTGCTTCAAAGCAGCCTCAATCAGGCGCGAGGCGTTGCAGAGGCTGACAGGAAGGTCTATCGAGGGACTACCGTTGGAGGGGTTCGATTATGATTCGATATTGGGGCAGTGCTGTGAGATGCCGGTGGGTTATGTGCAGATTCCGGTGGGGATAGCAGGGCCTCTGCTGCTCAATGGGTGCGATTACTCAGTGCCAATGGCCACCACGGAAGGATGCCTTGTGGCCAGCACAAACAGGGGTTGCAAAGCTATCTTTGCTTCTGGGGGTGCCACTTCTGTGCTCCTCAGAGATGCAATGACCAGAGCTCCAGTGGTCAGATTCGCCTCCGCAAAGAGAGCAACGGAGCTGAAGTTCTTCTTGGAGGACCCGCTCAATTTTGATACCTTGACTGTTGTTTTCAACAAGTAAGCTTTCTTCTTAAAAATATTTCTCTATGATTATTAATATGTGTAGAATCATTCGATTTTGATGGTTCGAGTACTTGAATTGTCTGTTCCTATTATATGCTGATCAAATTATCACCCGTTGTGTTTAAGTTTGAATGACCCAGAAGTTTAAGGTTTTTGTTTCTCATTATGCCATCTCGAACCCATTTCATAAAATTGTGCAACCTTCCCGCCATCTTATTTAGTCATCTCCAACCATCACACCAAATGTTGTACAAATGAAGAGTTAATTGTTCCAATGGTCACTCCATTGAAGTTTAAGACGTCGAGTTTTAGCAAATTTATCCAAACATGAGACATTACTCACTGGCATAATATCCTTTTCAAATCTTTAATAGAATTGGTGACGTGGCTAACGGAATGCACATATGGTGTCCCATCAGATCGTTAACAAATTGCCACGTAAGGAAACGTCTTTCATTGCTTACTAAACTTTGGAAAACATCTTCAATTGCAAACTAAACTTTGAGGTGAATTTTGGTCAACTAAAATTTAAAGCATCTCATTGCCCACTAAACTTTAGAAACATCTTTGATTGCTCACTAAACTTTAAAAAACTTCTTCGATTATTCATTTAACTTTGAGGTTATCGAATTTTGGCTATTAAACATATAAAAATGATGTCGGCCTATTTTTTGTTAAAAGATGTGTACAACAAGCACATGGGTCGCATAAAAGTAATAAAGTGAACGAACGAGTCTAGATTGTCGATCTTTACTCAATTATAAAATAGTTAAATTTAATTTTAATATATTTTTATAGAATTTTAAGTTATTTTCGTCATTTGAAAAATTCAAATTAATTATGTGTTTCATTGTTGAAGTTAAATTAAAATAAAATATGGATTTTGCAATGAAACACACAATAAATTTAATTAAATGGAATTTGTAACAAAACAGACAATAAAATCAATTAAATTTTGGATTTTTGTAATTAAACACACAATAAATTTAATTACAATTTGGATTTTTGTAATGGAACATGCAATCCATTTAATTAAATCTATTGTATGTTTTGTTGCAAAATCTAAAATTTAATTTAATTTCTTTTAACAATAAAACACAAAATAAATTTAAAATTTTCAAATGATGAAACAACTTAAAAATTTTACGGAAAATGTTAAAATTAAATTTAACTGTTTTGTAATTGAATAATCATTTCTTGTGGGATCGACAACCCAAACTTTCTTGTACACTTTATTACTTTTATGCGACCCTTGCTGTACATGTTTCTTAATGATCAACAGGTTAATGTCATTTTTATATATTTAGTGGTCAAAATTCAACCATCTCAGAGTTCAATGAGCAATCAAAAACGTTTTTTCAAAATTTAGTGAGCAATCGAAAATATTTTCCAAAGTTTAGTGAACGAAATCTTTTTCAAAATTTAGTGAGCAATGAAAGAAGCTTTGTTACGTGACAATTTGTTAATGGTGTGATGGGACTCCAAATAATTTATTTCAAAATTTATTCAATTATAAATTATATTACTACAATTTACTATAAATAATAATCAAAATTATTCATTAAATATTAAAAGGATATAATGAGAATTAAGGGAAATAAGAAAAATTCTCCAAATTACGCCAATTGAACAGACTATGGTGCAACACTATTCACCAATTTGATGTCAAGATATGAAGTTGGGTTGGAGGAGATTTTATCACCCATTTGGCATACACCAAATTCGTGTAAGGGTTGGAATTGCCCTGAGGTGATAAGGCTTGGGATGTTTGAGGAAAATGTTCCAAGTTTGTGAAATTTCTTTTTCGAAGACAAATATATTCCTTCTAATTATCTTAGTTTTTGTACTTACTGTGTTTTGTTAGAACGAAGTGCATCATATGCTGTCAATTGCATCTTGGTTATGTGTTGTGCAGATATGCTTATACAAGTTTGGCCTGCATAAGTTTAGCCTGTGGATCAGTATTATTTTTCATCAATTTCTTGTGCTAATTAATCATCAAGCAAATAAATATGTATATATATATTTTTTCTTATTAAAGGTTTATATATTTCCTTTTGTGTTTGATTAGTGGTATTGCTCTTGAATTTCTGAGGCTTTCATACATAATCGAACATGTTTGCTGGTCACAGGTCTAGCCGATTTGCAAGACTCCAAGGTATTCAGTGTGCTATTGCTGGGAAAAATCTTTACATACGATTTAGCTGCAGCACTGGTGATGCCATGGGGATGAACATGGTATCTAAAGGTGTTCAGAATGTTCTGGACTTCCTTCAAAATGATTTTCCAGATATGGATGTTATTGGTATTTCTGGTGAGTTCTAATCATGTCTTCTTTCATTTTCTTTTTGATCAAAGCTAACCATTTCTTATTATATTGATATGTTGATCTTTTATATGGCCTCATCATCCCAGTTGTTGTCTTGTCAACAAAGAGCATTTTTAGGAACTGTTTATAAACGATTAAAATTATAAATAGATAAAATTGAGTGGTGGACAAGTAAGTCATACTTGTGTCCTCAAAACGTGTGTATAAAAAGTGGTTTGAGTGTGTATAAAATGAGCCAAACAGTTCCTTAATTTCTCTGGAATCTCAGCATCCTATTTTTATTGGATGTTTTTGACATGCTTCCAAGAATCTGAGCAGAATCATTAACAATTTTATTTTATTTTTTTGTACTTGCATTATTCTCTCTGTTGCTTTCTAAGCAGTTTGCTAGTCCTGACTGTTGCGAGTATCGTCTTTTTCTTTTTTTTGGTAATAATTATCTTCACAATGGTGACTCCTGTCACAGATTTACAGTCGTCGTCTTGACAGTTTTGTTATTTTAGGAGCGTAGTACAGCTTGTATTGGCTTCTGATATCAGGATTATTTAGTTTGTATTTCTGTGAACCTTCACAAGCATTTTCTCTGATGTTCCAATGTTTTGTTCCTGGATATGAATTTTCTTCAACGTGCAGGGAATTTCTGTTCTGATAAGAAACCTGCAGCAGTCAATTGGATTGAAGGGCGCGGAAAGTCAGTTATCTGTGAGGCAATTATTAATGGAGAAGTAGTGACAAAGGTATTGAAAACCACTGTACCTGCCCTCGTTGAGCTTAACATGCTCAAGAACCTCACTGGCTCTGCAGTTGCTGGTTCTCTTGGTGGCTTTAATGCCCATGCTGCCAATATTGTTTCTGCAATTTTCCTAGCCACAGGACAGGACCCAGCACAAAATATCGAAAGTTCTCACTGCATCACTATGATGGAGCCTGTCAACGATGGCAAGGATCTTCATGTCTCTGTCACCATGCCTTCCATTGAGGTATTTAACATTCTATATGATCTGTAATTTATTATATTTTTCCAATTTGAGTAGTTTTCAACTAATGGTAGTTGAAAAGTGTCGTGGAATATCCTCACAAATTAATCAATGCTGCAATTTTCTCTTTGGAAAGTGGACATACTGAGCAAATCTATTTTTGATTTGGGACCTGGTAGCATTCAGTTTTCTTTATTGGTTATGTTTCAGAAATCTATAACATCGACAGACATGTACATAGTGACATACACGGAATAACCTGGCATTTTTTTACTGAAGCCATTGTTCATTTTTGCAGGTCGGCACAGTTGGAGGTGGAACTCAACTGGCTTCACAGTCTGCTTGTCTCAACCTTCTTGGCGTGAAGGGTGCAAGCAAGGAGTCCCCAGGGTCAAACGCTCAGCACCTAGCAACCATAGTTGCCGGTTCTGTTTTGGCCGGGGAGCTCTCTTTAATTGCTGCCGTTGCAGCTGGTCAGCTGGTTAAAAGTCACATGAAATACAACAGATCAAGTAGGGATGTGACCAAACTTGGCTCATAGGGGAGGAGAACTCCCAGCATCTCTATTGCATGTGTGTAAAAATCTGTCAAAAGGCTGGAAGGAAGAATGGAACTGATGAGGACCCAAGGAAGGATTTCAATGTGTGGCTGCGGCTTGTCCTAGCTGGAAGCCTGGAAGTTAGTGAGCATGTTAAATGCTAGAACTTTTAATGCTTTATCTGCGTTCTCATTTTGTAAAGGTTGAAATTTTTTGAATCGTGTAGATGACTAATGCAATTTGAAGTTGGTTTAGGTGTGTAATCCTTCGAATTATGCTTAGGAAATTGCTTCTTGTACATAACTATTTAATGATAGAACTTTAATGCTTTATCTAAGGCTGGACAAAACTCCCGAATCGAACCGACCGAACCGAACCGAACCCGACGGTTCTTCTCAAGTTAAATACCCGAACGGGTATTTGAATCAAGAACCGACGGGTATGGTTCGGTTCTCGGTTCTAGGCCAAGATCCGAAGAATCGAATAAGAATCGAATCTCCGTAATTTTTTTAATTAATTTATTTTAAATAAGTAAAATTATTTTAATTTTTCTAAATAAGTTTCTTAACTAGTTAATTTAATTCAAACCACAAAATATGATTTTCCTATTTCTAATATTCAGTTCAAAATCGACTTAATCAAATTGACCTTAATTTTATCCAAATCTGTTATTCTACTGTAGTGTCATTTTTACCGGAGAAAATTGAATTAAAGCTCTACAACATTTCTCTTAATTATTTTGAGCTCACTGTCTTTCTCTTTCTGTGATTTTAATAATCAAGTTTATGAAGAATTCAGCAAAGAGAGACGTGAAACACATAAGATTGAACTACTTTATTTTGTAAGAGCTAATATTAAATATACCATCAATTAAATTAACGTAACTTTGTATATATTAAAAAATTTAATTATAATACAGAACCGAATGGAACCGAACCCGAACGGTTCCGTAATTAAATTTGGACCCGACGGTTTCACTTACTAAATACCCGAAAATTTTGGGTCGAGAACCGAACCGAGCCGGACCATATCTAGCCCTAGCTCTATCTGCGTTCTCATTTTGTAAAGGCTGAAAATTTTTGAATCGTGTAGATGAGTAATGCAATTTTAAGTTGGTTTAGGTGTGTAATCCTTCGAATTATTCTTAGAAAAATGCTTCTTGTACATAACTATTTAAATAATGATGCGGTGTCAAAATATACGTGGGAAAATTATGTGATTGATGAGATTTTGATCCAATTAAATTTCGTCACATAATCTGTTTGTAAATCATTATGTAAATTGTTATATATATGTAGGAGAATCCTTATTGAGACAGCAAATTTCATGTTGGGACTAAAGTTTAGGGGCATGCAACAAGGCAATTACATTTCTCTACTCCATGCTTTTAATGGCTATTCATGCAGAATGTTCAAAAAAATAATAATAATAATTAATGTAACTTTTTTGGGAAGCACTTTTATTAAAAAGGAAGAAAAAAATAGCAAAAGAAAAAATGATGCCGAATGATCCCTTAATTTGTTTCAACTAAATTTCAGTTTAGTGTCAATTGAATTATCGATGTTCAAGGTTCAGATTTAGTCTCTCTTTTTTTAACAGTGTCCTGCCATATCTAATGCATGTAACCGATCTTAACACTAACTAAAGTAATCAGATAAATCAACAAAGAGAGTCTTCTGATGTGAACCCGGATAGTTAGATCGCTATTAACCTACAAAACAATGACACAAACCCCCAAGAAAGTCAAAAATCAAAGTTCATGGAATTTGACCCAAAAATAACGAATCAAACAACCAACACAATCACAAGGATATGCTGACATTTTGATTACAAAATTTATGAAACCAAAACCCGAATTTTTAAGATCGATCCAATAAATTATTGAACCAAGAAACCAAGACAATTACAAGAATACCTTGACTCCGTGATCACAAAAATCTACGAATCTCCCTTACTTGGTAAATGCCACGAGAAGTTATCCCGATAAGTTCGATAAATTGTTCGCAAAGAACAAAGATGGAAGCAACCTTGCCTCTGCATTAATCCAATGTCAAAATAAGTTTTTTATGAATAATAGGAGAAAGTATTTTTACTAAACTAATAAACCCTAGACAATAAAAAAAAAAAAGGAATAACTTTTAAAAATCCTAATTTTAATGGTAGACACATCCAACATTGCAAGAAATATGGAAAGAAAATAATTCTAGTGGAAATAAGTAACTCGCACATAAAAGGAAAATTCCTCCCCGAAGTAGTGCCATGCGGCCACATGATAGAAATCCATGCGATCGCATGGTTCAAATGCTGATCGCCTACTAGTCCCCTGCCTCATGCCATGCGGTCGCATGGCTTGGACAACCATGCGATCGCATGGTTGTCCGGTTGGCTCTCCCATTGTAGCTGCCCGATTCATCTTGATTTTCTAGCTTTCGGACTTCGTTTCCAACACCAACCTTGGCCCTTGGCTTGCCAACTTCGCTCCTTTGAACTCCGTTTCTCGAACACACATTTGTATAGCTTCGTTGGCTTGAACTAAGCTCAATTCCCGTCCCAATGCCTTGATTCACAACAAATAAGCTCTCGACCAACTTTGGCCTAACCAAGATCACATCAGGCTTTCCCTCTTCGAGAGGATTCGTCCTCGAATCCGCGCCTGGTTCAAAGACTTTGCACCTTCCATCTGCTTGGCCACAACTTAACTCTTTATCGTGACTTTGATATTCCACCACACCATGATTGAATACTTCCCCTTCGATGCTCCGATTGCTCCATATCAATTGGATATTCAAAGAGTGGTTTCTAATTTAGAAAAGTCCTCATGTAGCAAATATTCATAATCCCGCAACAAAGAATTATGCAAACTAGGGAGGGATATGTTAGCCTTCACCAACTCACTTCCACCACTAAGCTCACTCTTCTTTACAAATAAGTTCTCCTTTCGTTTGTCTTTCATTTTCCCCACACCACCTTTCAATCTCAACTGATCTTCATACACTTCTTGTGGTGTCAAAGGTACAAGTGTAATAGTTTTCCCATCCATGTCAAAAATGTATCTATTTCTAAACCCATCATGCTTCACCTTCCTATCGTATTGCCAAGGCCTACCCAATAATATATGCCCCGCATCCATTGGCACAACATCACACAACACTTCATCCTTGTATCTCCCAATTGATAAGTTAACCAAAACCCTCCTATTAACCTTAACTTCTCCTTTATCATCTAACCACTGAAGTTTATAAGGTTTTGGGTGTTTTATCATCTCCAATCCCAATTTCTTTATAGCTAGCTATATCAGTGCAACTACCTCCATCAATAATCAAGTTGCATACATTATCATTGATGTGGCACCGTGTATGGAAGATATTCTCCCGCTACTCTTCCCCATCAACCTTGATTTGTGCATTGAGTGCACACATCAAGACAAGCGCTTCTTCTCCAACCGGATACTCCACTACATCACCATCACTAATATCTTCCAACTTGGGCATGCAATCTCCATCACTGTCACTCACTACTTCCCCACTGTCCTTCAAGGTCATGGCTCGTTTATTTGGACACTGAGAAGCAATGTGTCCTGTTCCCCAGCACTTGAAACACTTGATGTCCCGACTCCTAGATTGCTCTGGTTCCGCCTTCGCTGCAACCTTGCTAGCATTGTCATCCTTCCCCCTAGGTGGCTCAATTTTGTTGTTGACAACACCCCCATCAACTTTCTCTTCACTCCACCTAGACCTCCAAGATGAATTAGGCCCCCGTTGATCCCTAGCTCTCATTTTTCTCTTCAACTGCCTCTCAACCTTCATTGCCACATGCAGCATATCCTCCAATTCCACATAATGCTGCAATTCAACAACATTGGCGATATCCCTGTTCAACCCATTCAAGAACCGTGCCATGGTGGCTTCTCGGTCTTCCTCCACATTATCCCGAATCATTAGAATTTTCATCTCCTTGTGGTAATCCTCCACACTCCTCGACCCTTGGTTCAACCCTTGCAACCTTTGATGAAGCTCCCTATAATATGAACCGGTATAAATCTTTTCCTCATAACTGCCTTCAACTCATCCCACGTGCTTATCGGCCTCTCCCTATTCCTTTGCCGTGAAGTGACCACCTGATCCCACTAAGTGATGGTGTAATCAGTGAACTCCAAGACTACAAGCTTCACTTTCTTCTCCTCCGAATAGTTATGGCAAGCAAAGATCAACTCCACCTTCTTCTCTATTTACCCCAATTGCCATCCACGTCATCTCCATGATTATTCCTACCCTTTCGTTCAAACCACGCCTCTCTACGCCTCACTCTACCCATGTCAGCCTCATCATCAAATTCTCCTCCATATTCATTCTCATCCAGCTCATTGTCAATATCATATGCTTCTTGTTCCATCCTAGGCTCCCTCCTACCCGACCTCCTAGCTTGAGGGACATTCACCCATTGACCCTGACTAAGAGTTGTAACTGTCGCGTCAAGCTTGTCCAATCTAATTTCCAACCGATTTTCCATATTTATCATCATCTGCTCAAACTGCTGTATTAAGTCATCCTGCATGTTGATTTGATTATCGTTTCGACTAGAGTTTGATCCTTCCCTGTCAGACATTGCTCATAGACTTTCTGTCTCACCAAAATTTCACTTGGGAATCACTTAATATTAGGCTTTTACCCCCGATTAAACTCACCACTCAGCCTTTTACCACTCAAGCTTCCAATCGATGATCTCAAGAATAGTTACTCGGAGTAAACTTGTGGGATAACAATTGAATTGTAGAAGACTCACGATTAGGAAGTTGAAGGACTAAGAAATTAAATAATTTTTTTCTTTGGATATAACTTTGATTCTGGTGTCTAAGCTCTGATACTACTTGATGTGAACCTGGATAGTTAGATCGCTATTAACCCACAAAACAATGACACAAATCCCAAGAAAGCCAAAAATCAAAGTTTATGAAATTTGATCCAAAAATAACAAATCAAACAACCAACACAATCACAAGGACATGCAACCTTTTGATTACAAAATTTATGAAACCCAAACCTGGATTTGTAAGATCGATCCAATAAATTATTGAACCAAGAAACCAAGACAATTACAAGAATGCCTTGACCCCGTGATCACAAAAATCTACGAATCTCCCTTGGTTGGTGAACGCCACGAGAAGTTATCTCGATAAGTTCGATAAATTGTTCGTGAAGAACAAAGATGGAAGCAACCTTGCCTCTGAATTAATTTAATGTCAAAAAAAGTTTTTTATGAATAATAGGAGAAAGTATTTATACTAAACTAATAAACCCTAGACAATAATAAAAAAAAGGAATAACTTCTAA